TGTACCCTGAGCAAACTGCCCCAAATCACACAACTCCTAAATGGTAGTTCCAGAATTCAAACCCACCGAGTCCAAAACCACAGCCCACGTACTTCATGACTACTCGAAACCAACTCCCGGTAAGTGACAGATGCCAGGGAGAGGCAATGGCAGCCGTCAATGGAGACGTTTGTTTAAAAACTATTCGTGCAGCACCTTCTATATGCCAAACATTGATTGGGACACAACAACTCCATAAGTAAGCAAGCATGGAAAACTGTCCACCAGAGGAGTCATGACTTACATTGTCATGGTATCAGTAGTCACTGTGACTGAGGCAAAGGTTCTGAGAGGTCAGGAGCAAGGTGAGATACTTTTGGTATTGTTTTAAGCATTTTCAATACCTGCAAAGAAACCAGACTACGTTCCTCAGTAAACCACACCAGTCACCGGGACATCTCACTGTGAGTGACTCCGTTCCCCTGCTCTCCCCAAGCCACTTGTGGAACAATTAGGCTTCTATTCTTTCTCTCTCTCCCTGCCCAGGGATGACTGATATTTTTTAAATCTCCTTTCCCTGCCCCCTTAAAAAAATAGGTGTCAAAATGAGAGTCTGTGAGAGTTTGCCCAAATTTGGTGACATGGGAGAGGCAGTAATTAGCATAACAAACTAAAATGGTATTTCAAGGATGGCCCTGCTGGGAAGGAATTATTTGCAGAGAGTGTGGTCACTAATGAGAGAAGGTCCCACAAACATCCCCAGTAGAAACCCACAGACACAAGCTACGATCATGCTTTTAATCCTGGCGGCTCTTTGCTTTCACAAACTGCAGTAAGCCGAGTCAAAACAGGTTCCATTTGTCTTTGAGAGTAGTCTTTTTTTTTTTTAAATCAATTTACTTATTTTTGAGAGAGAGAGAGAGAGAGAGAGAACACAAGCAAGGGAAGGGTAGAGAGAGGGAGACAGAGAAGAGAAAATCCCAAGCAGGCTCCGCACTGTCAGTGCAGAGCTCAATGCAGGGTTTGAACTCATGAACTGGGAGATCACGACCTGAGCCGAAACCAAGAATGGGACTCTTAACACACTGAGCCACCCAGGTGCCCAAGAGTAAAGAATATTCTTAATGTCACATCTTCAGTATTTAGAAAAAATATATCCATGAATATATTATATATATATATATATATATATATATATATATATATATATGAAGTAAGTTTACTTCAGTATCCATTACAAATGACAAGTATCATTGGGAGGCATTTACTTCTGTTGTGTGCTCAATGTTCCACAAGCATTTTCTCCTTGACTCTCTACAACAATCCTAGGAGGTGGGGTCTTTTGTGTACCCCATTTCATAGATGACAGGAGTGAGACTTATGAGTTGGGAAAGCAGTTTGGTGGTTCATGAAAAAGCTAAACATAGAATTACCTTATAACCCAGGAATTTCACTACTAGATATATACCCCATAGACTTGAACATGGATACGGAAACAAATCTATGCACACAAATGGCTATAGCAGCATTACTCAAAACAGTTTTTGGAAATAACCCAGATTTCCATCAATCAATAAATGGATAAACAAAATGTGGTGTAACCGTATAATGGAATATTATTCAGCCATAAAAATGTACAAAGTACTAACACATGCTCCAAAAACATTATGCTAAACAAACTGGATACAAAACATCACATATTGTACGATTCCATTTGTATAAAATGCCGATAATGAGAAAACCCATAAAGACAGAAAGTACATTAGTCGTTGCCAGGGACTAGGAGGGAGGGGAAATGGGGAGAAACCGTTTAATAGGTACAGGGTCTCCTTTGTGGGGGATGAAAACGTTTTGGAATGAGATAGAGGTGCTGGTTGCACAACATTGTGAATGTACTAAATCCCGCTAAATTATACACTTTAAAATGGTTAATTACATGCTAGGTGAAATTCACCTCAATTTTAAAAGTTTTTAAATTGTAAATGAGACCAGATCTGGGGTGGCCATGGAGGTACGCCACTCAGGCCTCGCTTCAAGAGCGCTGGCTGCAAGGAAGGTGGCCGGCTGACAGCCTCCAGCCGCCAAACTGCTGGCTCCTCTCCCCCAGTCCCCCGAACACGGTATTTATGCCCCAGTGCCCTGCTCTCGGTGATCTCTGTGAGTTGTTCCCAGTCAGTGATGGAGCACTGCAGGGCCCCCAGGGCTGTCTGCCCCTGCCCAGCTCTGGATTCACCTGGCAGGCATCTCTGCTTTCGACTGAACGGCAAACTTCACTCCACTTTCCTTTCTTCTTTCCCACGTCAGCCTTGTATTTCACTCCCCCCTCCACCCACCTTCTTCACCGCTTCGTTACTTTATCGGTCCCAGACATCTGCCTCCAGTAGATCCCCGGCACAGCTAACCCCACCTCAGTGTCTGCTTCTCAGGGAACCCAAACTGACATAAAGCCCAATAAATTGCCCATTGTTACACAGACAGTTGGGGGCAAAGCCAGGACTCAGTAGCTCTATTACCAACTTTCTGAACGTAAGTACAAAATCACATTTATTTGATGATGAGAGCTACCTAAATAGGGTTTTCGTGTATTCCTGGTAGAGTGGCTCTGATTTGCTCATTAAATAGCTGTGATTTTGAGCAAACTGCTAACTGTTAGTATTTCTGTTTTCAAAAATGTAAAAATGAAAGTTTGCCAACTTACAACTTGTCAATCCCTTCTCCCTCATGTGTCCACGGCTGACCTCATTGACCTACCCTCAGTCGTTCCTCACCCTAAGAGACCAGGCAGACATTGTAATAGATCAGAGTATATATATATATAAACTGATTTGCTTCCTATCTGTCAGAGTCCACTCTTGGCAGCTCAGCCTCATGTGATTAAATTATCACACTTTTTTTTTGCCTATTTTTTTAATATGAAATTTATTGTCACATTGGTTTCCATACAACACCCAGTGCTCACCCCAACAGGTGCCCTCCTCCATGCCCATCACCCACCTTCCCCTCTCCCCCACCCCACATCAACCCTCAGTTTGTTCTCTGTATTTATTTAAGAGTCTCTTATGGTTTTCCTCCCTCCTCTAACTTTTCTTTTCCTTCCCCTCCCCCTTGGTCTTCTTTCTGGTAAGTTTCTCAGGATCCACACAAGAGTGAAAACTTATGGTATCTTTCTCTTTATGACTTGTTTCACTTAGCAGAACACTCTCCGGTTCCATCACGTTGCTACAAAAGGCCATATTTCATTCTTTTTCATTGCCAAGTAGTATTCCATTGTATCACATTCTTTTTGACCATGGCACCACCCAGAGCACCGAGTCATCCAAGCAAGACCCCCACTCCTTCCTGTGCAGCATCCTTACCACATAATCAGCCTAAACCAGAACGTTGGGATGAATTGAATTTATCTGACTTTCATATTGATGTCAGTCAACACTAGATGCCCCAACTCCCAGGTCATCCTTCATCACCCTAGAGTTCTTCACACTGTCTGCTCTCACCCCCATCTCCCATTCCTCACCATGATCCTTCTAGAATGTACGGTCCATTGGCAGTAAAACTCTCCCTTTATCACCATTCCTTTCCGTTTCTCTGACTTACTCTAAGTGGAATCCAGCTTTGTGCCAAAGACGCTAGGTGGCTTAAGCTCTCTTCACTAATGGTTTCTTTCTTTCCTTTATCCCTTCTACCACTGAACCTAGAGGTAGGGTGCCATCCTTGTACATCCTAGTCATTTCTAGATCATTGTCTCTTTCGCTGAAACTACCAGCTTGGAACTTAACTCAATTAGACTATACCTACCAGTACCACCCTCCTTCTTAACCTAGCCCTTAGTCACTCCTCATTTCTTACTAAATGTAGCACCTGGCTCATTATTACTCTCTAGTATTAATTCTGTCACGATTCTTGGCGAGCTGTAATATCCCACTCTGGCCTCTTGGTGGGAAGCTTCTTGATCTCCTCCCTCCATGATGCTGTCTACTCAACATCAGCCAACCAGTCCTCCAGACATTTCCTGAACTTTTTCATCACCATAATCTAATCTCAATCTTAAGTATCTTCACTTCATACCACACCCCCATTTTGTACAGCTCACTCACTCTTGTGTCCTGACTCAACATTAATAAACCCCACAGGGTCTATAAACCTCATTGACAGCACTCACTCTTCTCTTGTTCTCATCTCGTTCCATACCCAACTTGGACTCCATGGCTCCTTGCAAATAGGCTAACATCCCTTCCTCTCTCTTCCTTCATCGTGATTCCCTGATTAATTTAATTTTCCACTTTCTCTGTGCCTGCACCAGGGTACGTGAACTTAGATGGGAAAAAAAAAAGCCATACACAAATGGGGGCTCATCCGTGTCACTCAAAACCATTACTACGGCCCTCAGGAGGGTCTTTGAACCTGCCTGACAATCTTCCTACCATTCCCAATCTGTTTTCTCTCCCATGATTCTAGGTGAGAATTTCATATCTTCCCTTTAAAATTCCAGCACCCCCTGCCTCCTCCTCACTCCCCCCAGAGAAGTCACTTCCAAGTGCACTGAAAAAATAGAAGTAATCAGAAAAGAACTTCATTGAGAGGCCACTGTCGTGTTTCCCCCTCCTCATTTATTTTATCCCATGTTTTCTTACTAGCCCTTACCCCACCCCAGACCTACTATTTATGCAATCAATTCTTTATTGGTTTGTCATCCATTTTCCCCTGCAGAATCTAATTTCCAAGATAGTAAAGATTTGTCTTTGTTCATTGCTATATCCCGTGCAGTGCCTGGCATGTAGTAGCATGCGATAAATATTTGCTAATTGTGTATCTATTATGTTGTACAGGCACAACTCACAGTTCGCAATCACAAAGTAATCCTACTCTGTCTCCTTTGTCCCTTTAAAACTGTTCTCATGCTGCTAGTTTTGCCAGGAACTTCTGCCGGATTCTTGGTTTTTCTCGTCATCCTTCAGTATACAAAGAGTTTTTTCTTGTCCCTGTGAGTCACAAAACATTGCTTCAATTCAGTGATTAAAATGTGTAGTTCCATGTAAAAGTATATTTCAATTGAAATGAAAGCTTCTCTTTCTCCTCCAGCTCAGACTGCTCTGAAAGAAAGAAAGAAAGAAAGAAAGAAAGAAAGAAACCAAAACCTTTGGTCAGAAGGTGTTAGACTGACCTCATCCCTTTCCCAGCCTTTTTTCCGTCTTCCGCAATTTGCAATTCAAAGCTTCTTTTTTTTTTAATTTTTTTAATGTTTATTTATTATTTTTGAAGGAGAGAGAGAGAGAGAGAAAGAGAGAGAGCAGGGGAGGGGAGGTGCAGAGAGAGACAGGGAGACACAGAATCCAAAGCAGGCTCCAGACTCCGAGTTCCCAGCACAGAGCCCGATGCGGGGCTCGAGCTCACGAACAGTGAGATCATGACCTGAGCTGAAGTCGGACGCTTAACGGACTGAGCCACCCAGGCGCTCTGCAATTCAAAGTTTCTGATGGCTTCCCCCAAACCCAATGTCGAGGAAAATGAGAGAAGAGAGTAAAGGGAGAAAGACATTTATTAGCTGACACTACCTTGTTGATTTTATCATTGACTTTTTCTGAAGTTGTCAGATGTTCACAAGTGACTCTTCTGTGATGCTTTCAAGGGTTATTTGATGTCCTTCCATCACCATGGGGTCACCTGCAATTTCACAGCTGTTTTAGCTGACTCTTACTCCTTTCCTCCAGTCCTGGGAGTCCAGCACTATCTCCAGCGGCTCTCTGCTTAGATCTGCTCACCTCTTTTGGACATGATCTAAGACCATTCCATGCAGGTCTCTCTTGTGTGTAGCCACATGAATTCCTAGGAACTACTCATTCTTCCTTTGCTCTGACAAACTCTTATTTTATTTTATTTTATTTTATTTTATTTCATTTCATTTCATTTTATTTGAGAGAGAGAGAGAGAGTGTGTGTGTGTGTGTGTGTGTGTGTGTGATGGGGGACAGGGGCAAAGGAAGAGAGAGAGAGAGAGAGAGAGAGAGAGAGAGAGAGAGAGAATCTTAACCAGGCTCCACGCTCAGCACAGAGCCCCACATGAGGCTTAATCCCACCACCGCGGAATCATGACCTGAGCTGAAATGGAGTCGGAGACTTAACTGACTGAGCCACCCAGGTGCCCCTGCTCTGGCAAACTCTTATGTGCCTATTGCCCAGTGCAGCAAGCTTGCCTTTGTTCTAGCAGTTGAGCATTCAGCCAGCCAGCCCATCCCCACTGTAACTTCACAGCAAACCTGAGTCTCCAAAAAGCCACGTCATAATAGGTAACACTTATCTTGGCACTTAATATATGTGCTTAAAATATATTAATTTACTTAATCCTCAAACAGCCTTTAGAAATATATACTATAATCACTTCCATCTTACAGATGGGGAACTGAGACACCCCCATTATTGCAAGTCCCCAGTGATGGGTTCTAGCCACACATTTTGGGATGTGGTTTCCGTTATCTTCAGCCTCAGCCAAAGCAACTGAAGTCATTAGCTAATAAGTATAGAGTAGATAGTTTTTAAGGTCTTTTCCAGTACTTACAATTTTGACATTTAAAATTATATTACTGTCCCATACATCCACGGCAAAGCATAGGAATGGTGGTGGTGGAGGATGTAGAAGATTGGAAATGGCCTTTTCTGGCCTAAATCCCTGGGGGTTCCCCCCATGTGGTTCTAGCTACAACTTTGTAGTTCACCAGGACACTAGCAAAACTAGTCTAGATGGTATGTACTCATGGAACCGTGAAGTTATAACTCTTCCCTGGTCCTATTAGCAGATGTTTAATTGACCATTCAGACTTGCACCAAATTGCATGCAGCAAATGAAAGCCTAGTGCCAGAGAACTGGACATGAAGACCTGTGTTGTTGTTTTCTTCTTTTTTTTTTTTTTTAAGTATATACTTAGAAACCAAATTCCCAACTGTTTATCTCTGCTCCCATACAATTCCAACATTCTTTTATTGAAAAGGTCTCAGAAGAGTGGGAAGCAAAATTAACTCCATGATAACTGGTTGGAGGTTTTCTGATATGGGAAAAAAAAGGCAATAGACATGAATTTTATGGCAGTATTTTGGTACTCCCTGCTGAGGTATCTCTTGCTCGGAAAGGGAAAGAGCTGGGGACTCATCTATGAGTTCAGAGGATATTTAAAATGGCTTCCTCATCCGGGGTCTGTGATCATCATGGAGTTTTGGTACCAATTGTTAACATTCAGCTGAAGAGCACAACCATGATGTAGGAATGAGTACAGCAAGGGAATATTAAACATTAGAACGCTCTTCAGCCTCATGTCTTGGATTTTGAAGGCTCTGCAGCACACCTGGAGGGCAGGAGTCCCCTGTCTGCCAGTCTGCCGATGTGACTGGGGAGGCATCTGTGAGCCCAGAATTAAAAGCCAAGGAGAATCCATAAAAGTAAGTAGGTAATAATAAGGTGGATATAGAAAGAAAATGATGCCAGGCCCTTGCCCCTCTATCCCTTCTATAGTTATCTTTATTTCATTCCATCATAGTCATCTCTTAACTCTTTTCTCTGCTTTTAGACTTTCCTACTCCTATCCAAACTCAACTTCACAGCCAGAGTCATATTTCTAAAATGCAAATCTGATCATGTCACTTCTCTGCTCAAAAGCTGTTGCTCCCCACTGCCTACAGGCTAGAGTCCAAACTCATTAAAATGGAAGTCAATGCCCTTGAAAGGCTGGCACTGACCCACCTTCTGGCCTCATTTCTCAATGTAATATTTCTAAACCCATCATGATCTCTCCTTTCTCTCTGTGAGCCTTTGCACATGCAGCCCTCCTGTCTAGAAGTCCCTGCAGTTAGGAGGGGATCCATGGTAAGTAACAGAAAACTCAGCTTAAATGGGCTTTAACAATGAAGCTGATGTATTGGCTCACAGATTGGAAAGTCAAGAGGTTGACAGGATCCATATTTGATTGAACCAATGGACGCTGGCATTATCAATGGCCTGCTTTCATGCCATCTCTCTTCTCTGTTTTCTGCAGTGTCCATTCCAATATCTGGGAGGCTCATGTTGGGGTAATAGGATGACTGACGATCAGCAGTAAACAGGTCTTCATGGGAGGGAGCATACACACTTTAAGGAAAGAGTGGTTCTCAGAGAAAAATCTGGATGCTAAAAAGTGAAATGGAGGAATAAAGTTATAGGACATCTTTCAGTATAAATGATTTTTAGACATCTTTCCAGTCCAGTTCAGGTGTTCCATGAGCTGTGGAGAACACCCCTTTCCCTCACGCTAGGTTAACAGTTTGTTCTTTCATGCTTACCTTTCACCTTATGCACAGCTCTTCCATTAATACTCCTGCAAGTCATGGGGCACCTGGGTGGCTCAGTAGGTTGAGCATCTGACTCTTGATTTTGGCTCAGGTCATGATCTCATGGTTCATGTGTTCAAGCTCCACATTGGGCTCTGCACTGATAGTTTGGAGCCTGCTTGGGATTCTCTCTCTTCCTCTCTTTCTTCCTCTCTCCTGCCCATTCATTCTCTCTCTCTCTCTCTTTCTCAAAAATAAACATTTAAAAAAATACTCCTAAAAGTTCTAAAAGTTTTCATATTGGCCTACTATGTGCTGACTATCTGATATACATTAATTTTCTTAACACCAACAGTAAAACTTTGAAATAGATATTTGATATCCATGTTTTATTTATGAGGAAACTGTGATGAGAAGTTAAATAACTCTCCCATGGTAACACAGTTAGCAAAACTCTCTAACATATGCGTTCATGTTGCTTGCTCTGTACTATGTAAATGAAAACACATCACAAAATATCCACTCGATCACAGTCACCAGAAAGATATGTTGGATGGGTCATAATACTTATCACACGGTCTTGTATTTATGGGTCTCCCTTCCACACCAGCTATAAAACTCTTATAAAAAGGGATTGTATTCTATTTCCATTGAGAGCCCTGGAGTGTCATGATTAGACATTGTAGAGACAAACCTAGCCAGTCTGTCTCTACCTGACATCCTCCACTTCCTGGGAGACTGTGGGCAAATTTTTTAACCTTCCTATATCCAAGTCCCCTCATCGATAAAATGGGGATAATAATAGTACATCACAGAGTCATTATAAGGATTGAATAAGGTACAGAAAAAGCCCAAACACATATGCCTGAAACATTGAAAGCCCTTGACCAATTTTACATAAAAATGATTGTTGTGTACTTTTCATCCCCTTAAGATAGTGCCTGAAACAAGGCAAGATAGTCAATGAAATATGATTAGTCATGGGTAAGATCCTTAATCCTGCAGAATACTTAACTTTTCCTCGAGTTTTCCCCACTGTTTTCTAGTTCTATGGACACAGAAATGTTTTGTGTGCCTGAAAATCAACCAGGACCTGGTTAGCACAGAACAGTGAACTTTTGGTGTCATGGATGAGACATAGGAAGAGGAAAAAAAAAAAAAAAGTCATATGATAGTGAGGGGGAAATTAGACAGTCAAGGAATCAGAAGATTTTGGTTTCTAAAGCTGTTCTTAACTGTGTGGGACATTGGAATGATATCAACAGGACTTGATAACATCTAAATGTGTGGATTGAGTAAGAAAAAGAAATTCAGGGATCTATTCTGCTATTGGCCAAACATGTCAATGCAATAGGCCTTGATCTTCCACCTGTGAAATGGGGAATAGCATCATTAGCCTTTCTCACTGCATTGCTCTAAAGATCAAATGAGCTTCCCATTTAATGACTAACACTCTATGAGAAAGAGCCAACACAACCATTCAAGCTGAAGAAAAAGCAGCAGCTGGTGCAGGTGTCCAAGGAGGTAGTGTCTCATACTTCATTTAAGGACTTGGGACTTCATCCTAATGGGGGGGAGCACTGAAGAGCTGGTCAGTAGAGTGGCATTATTTTTGCATTTTAGAAACATTTCTCTGATTATAGTTTAGGTAAAAATTGTGGGAAAGCGAAGCTTGCAAAACCAGTAAGGGGTTATTGCAGGAACGTAGACAAGAATTAATGGGAGACTGGGCTGGGGTTGCAGCTATGGGAAAGAAGAAAATGCACGAATTAAACATGTTCAGTAGAACTTGGTGATGGACTTAATGTGGGCCTTAATGAAGAAAGAGGAATTGAGGATATTTCCCAGATTTTCTGATTTATCCAACAGGGCGAAGGCAGTGTCACTTTTTAAAATGAGAAAACTAGTAGATCAAAGTTAAAAATAATCATTCTTTTCAGAAATTAAAACAAGACACAGAAGAGATTCTTACCTGTGACCTGTTATAATGTAGACTCATGGATTTCATTAGAATGATTTTATACCGATTATTATAGGATCTAGTCTAGAGAATAAATATGTGGAATTAAAGGAAATGACAAGAGAAGAATTTGTCAGGTCCATTTATTCATTCAGCCAGTATGTCAGGTACTATTCTAAACAACGTTTTAACAATAGTAAAGAAGAGAGAAGGTCCTTGCCCTTTGGAAGTTGATGTTCTAGTGGGGGCAAAATATATAATAAACAAATAGGAAAAATCATATAGCAATGAGGATTACTCAGAACATTAAGATAACTTGACATGATGGGAAGGCCAGGGGATTTTTTTTAGGGGCAATAGGAAGAGGTCACTCTGACGGAGAAAACACTGAAGCTGACGCTTAAATAATAAGAAGAGGAGTCAGTGACCTTTATAATCAAGGGAAAGGGCCTGCTAAATAGAGGGAACAGCCAATGCAAAGGCCCTGTGGCAGGGCATGTTGTTCAGGCCAACCACAGAGAGTTATGAAGAGAGTGGCACAAGAAGTTGGAGCTGTGAGCAGTGCATTGTAAACTGGGGCTTAGAGTCACA